AATTCAAGACCAGCCTGGGCAAAATGGCAAGATCCCTGTCTCTACAAAATGTTTTAAAATTAACCAAGTAAGGTGGCATCTCCTGAGCTCCTGGACACGGGGCTCAGTGGAGGGGGCACCATACCCACTCTTGCTGAACCAACAGTGGGAGCCAAGCCAGCACCAGCCATGGCACCCTTACTTCTCTCCTCTCCTTCCTTCCCTATCCACCCTCCTCATTCACCTTGCTTCACAACCCCCCACCCCCGCCATTTCTCCCAAGGGAGGATGGAAGGATGGAAGGCCTGTTCTGCACAACTAGGTCAAGTCGTTCGTTACCTTATCACCACAATTTGGACACTTAGGGGTGAACCTGCATCCCTCCTCTGTGGCCGCACCTGATAACAGCCAGATAAAACATGACTGGCAAGATAGTTTATCTCCCAACACCAGCCTTAGGAAACAGTTTCATATACTCACTTTTTCCTTTTTTCCAATCCTGTCGTGGAGGACGTGTAGCCTTCTAAAGTACCAGGTCAAACCTCCCAGGATGTGGGTCAACAATGACCTTAGTGGTGGGTCTTCACAGGCTGGAGTCTGTGCCCTGAAGCAAGTGACTCTCAATGGTGTGAAGTTGAGCAGTTTTCTTTGTGGCTGCTGCAAAGCAAACAGATAAAATGGCAGCTGTCGTCCTCATGTCCTGAGTAGGTCCCCCTCAGAGTTCTGAGACCCAGGCACGCTCATGAAACTTTTGAAGTTGGTCTCCTCCCTGTTGATTCAGACTCAGTCATGTCAGCCCTGAGCCAGCAAGTCTCCACAAGCACTGGGCACTCTAGTGTGTCACCAGAGAAGACCAGGGGCTAGAAAAGCTCCAGGTGCTCAAACCAGTTGCACAGGATTGCCCACGACTTCGGCTATTCCCACCCGGTGCAGAGAGCCCCTCGCCCTCATCCTGTCGGATGACGAGTCACCACCCAGCTCTCAGAAGGTAGTCTTTAGAGGTCCGACTTTTTTTTTTAGATGGAGTCTCACTCTGTCGCCCAGGCTGGAGTGCAGTGGCTCGATCTCAGCTCACTAAAACCTCCACATCCCAGGTTCAAGAGATTCTCCTGCCTCAGCCTCCCGAGTAGCTGGGACTACAGGCACATGCCACCACACCCAGCTAATTTTTTGTATTTTTAGTAGAGATGAGGTTTCACTGTGTTCGCCAGGATGGTCTCGATCTCCTGACTGCCTCGGTGTCCCAAAGTGCTGGGATTACAGGCGTGAGCCACCGTGCCCGGGGCTTGAGGTCCTACTCTTTTTCCAGGGAACCAAGACAAAGAATAAACTGGCTTAAGAAAATAAATCATTCAAATCTGTAGAAGATTAAATCCGTTTATTAATTCATGTAAACATTTTCCAACTTGGGAGGAGACAAGGCAAAGACAGTAGGAGGCCTTCTGAGAAGGGAGGTCAGATGAGAGAGGCCTTCAGACTCACCCCAGACCAGCTCCACCATAACAATTTCTAGAAACATATTCATCACATGTAAACAAAATGCAGTTTTCCCCATAATTTTCAAATTAAGATTCCATTTGAAAGGGAGTTAAAGCTCATACACTTTTCCAGAGTTTAAAATGCTAGGCCATTTTAAACACGTGTTTGTCCAGATAAGTTTCTGCTTGCCTCAGTGGGATCCGCAAGCTTGCACGAGAGCACACTAATTTTCAATCCACTCCTTGCTCTGTGTGATACAACAAACTGTAAGGAGAAACAGAAAAAGACAGAAGGTTAGTTTTTTAAATCGCCTTGTATATCAAGTTGAAAAATCAATGATCACAAATAGTGAACCGCAATGAAAGTTTTGTTTACAGATATTAATATAAACTTCCGTTAAAGCTGTAAGATGATGGAAAGGGTTCCAGTCTCAGAGTACAGTTAATTTACAGGCCCAGCTTCTGACTGATTTTATAAAAATTTATATCACTTTTCATGCTATTTCTCTCAGGTAGGAAAGTTGGGATTAAAAGTCTAGTGTGGCCGGGCGCAGTGGCTCACACCTGTAATCCCAGCACTTTGGAAGACCGAGGCGGGCGGATCACCTGAGGTCAGGAGTTCGAGACCAGACTGGCTAACATGGTGAAACTCCCATTTCCACTAAAAATACAAAAAATTAGCCGGGCATGGTAGCGCACACCTGTTATCCCAGCTACTCAGGAGGCTAAGGCAGGAGAATCGCTTGAACCCAGGAGGCAGAGGTTGCAGTGAGCAGAGATTGCGCCATTGCACTCCAGCTTGGGCAACTAGAGCGAAACTCTGTCCCCCTGCCCCCCAAAAAAATGTCTAATGCAGGGCTGGGTGAGGTGGCTCATACCTGTAATCCCAGCACTTTGGGAGGCCAAAGCAGGTAGATCACTTGAGGCCAAAAGTTCAAGACCAGCCTGGCCAACAAAGTGAAACCCTGTCTCTACTAAAAATATAAAAATTAGCCAGGCATGGTGGTGCACACCTGTGGTCCCAGCTACTCGGTGGCTGAGGTGGGAGGATCACTTGAGCCTGGGAAGGTTGAGACTGCAGTAAGCTGTGATCGCACCATGCGCTCCAGCCTGGGTGACAGAGCAAGCAGAGAGAGACTCTGTCTCAAAACAAACAAAAAAAAAGTATAACGTAGGAAAAAGGGCTTACTGTGTGTTCAAACTACCAACTGTGATAGACTTTAAGCTGTAGCAGGGACTCAATCTGTGAGACTACAGGAATATGATGACATAATTTAATAATAGTCTTATTTTAATAGTCTTGTTTTTTACAATTTATACAGCAATTTAACCAACATTTTATTTAATATAGAGTGGAAGGACATATAAACCACTTTAATTTCAAGACTGAGAGAAAAAAAAGTACCAACGTCAGGAAAACTGTAGAAGGCTTTAAATGGGCAATAACAATAAGTGGGTATCCTTTCGATGGAATGTCATAGTAGTCTGGCATTGGCTAGAACACGTTCAGAGCCATCTGATTCTACAGGAGCTACACCTCCCACTGCACGGACTGAGCTGTTTTAGAACTAGGTTGTAGAAAGCTGACAGTGATTCGAATGACCCTGCTCATGGAATCCCCATGAAGTCTGAGTGAAGATGCACTGCTTCTGCCCTGTAGAGGAGCCCAGTGGTTCATCTACAAGCAAACCCATCCAGCATTTTGCATTGCCTGCCTATGTATCTATTCTTCCAATTACTTCTTTTTTTTTTTAATTTTTGAGACAGAGTTTTACTCTGTCACCCAGGCTGGAGTGCAGTGGTGAGATCTCAGCTCACTGCAACCTCCGCCTCCCAGGTTCAAGTGATTCTCCTGCCTCAGCCTCCTGACTAGCTGGAATTACAGGCACCTGCCACCACGCCCGGCTAATTTTCATAGTTTTAGTAGAGACAGTGTTTCACCATCTTGGACAGGCTGGTCATGAACCAATTCCCTTTGAATCCTTCTTTTCCCTATATCTTACTGGTTCCCTCATTAATTAATGAGTTAATTTTCAACATGTGTTATTTTATTTTTGTATGCATCATGGTTTTTGGATTTTGGTTTTGGATTTTACATCTTTTTATTTGTAAAATACTGTGTTACCTAACGCACCAAGCAGCTTGTCCATAATTGTGAATATTTGTTAAAGCCACCTGGAACATCTGTTACACACATTCTCTGGGAAAGTGCAGTATCCACTTGAGGGTCATTCATTGTTGTATTTGAATCAAATTTAGAAAAGTCTTAAGTTCCCATGAACTTAAGTTGATCCGACTCATTAGCAAGTGGTGCCTCCTGTCTGGAGGCAAAGCATACAGGGTCGGTCAAGGACTTGAGTGTGCCCTGACTTGCAAAGAGATAGTACTTAGGGGCCCATGCTAACCATTGAAGAGATGCAGCATCTTACTGCAACTTTTCTTTCCTTTGGCCTGGTAGTGAAGAGGCCTTAAGCCAAGGTCCTAGAAATATTGGTAAGGCCACTGGAGACTCCATGTCTGCAAACTATTCGGATGTGCTGTTGGCCATGGAAAATGGGAAAACCTGCTTATGAGGCTGAGATGGAGGAGATGCGGCATTTACAAATGCTCCTGCAGGATGTCCATGAGATGAAAACTAATTTCATAATAATACTAATTCTCCTATCAGCACACGATGTTTTCTAGAGGCTTCATGATACCGTTAGTCTGACACAAATGGAATGTGTGCTCTAGAATGTTTTAAATTTTTTTCAGTATTAAGCTCCAGTAAAGCAAGTATCAGTAGATATAACCCACACAAACGGAAGCACATTGACTTGCAGGACAACACAAGAGAAAAGAGTTGAGAACCATGAAGTGAAGCAACGAGGCTGGCTGGGTCCAGTCTTACCTGTGACCCACGGCAAGTGGCAAGACTTTTTTTTTTTTTGAGACAGAGTCTCGCTCTGTCACCCAGGCTGGAGTGCAGTGGCGCGATCTCCGCTCACTGCAAGCTCCAACACCTCCAGGGTTAACGCCATTCTCCTGCCTCAGCCTCTCTAGAAGCTGGGACTACAGATGCCCGCCACCAAGCCCGGCTAATTTTTTGTATTTTCAGTAGAGACGGGGTTTCACCGTGTTCGCCAGGATGGTCTCGATCTCCTGACCTCGTGATCCGCCCACCTCGGCCTCCCAAAGTGCTGAGATTACAGGCGTGAGCCACCGCGCCCGGCCGTGGCAAGACTTCTTGGTCCCACTTTTCTCATCTGCAGCAGGGGAGTTTGTCTGGCTGCACTTTTCCCCCTCTGACACCTTGAACACTAAGACTCGAGGATCCTCCAACACTGAAGTGCCTCAGGAGGCAGCTGTGGCCCTTCAGAGTTGGAGGATCACGGAATTTTGCAGGTTAGCAAACTTAATTAACCTCCGTAGGGTCTCACAGGCTGAGGTGTGGCGGGATTAGGATTCAGACCAAATCTGTCTCCCCAATAACCACGCACTTAACTGTGCTGTTTCACACTGCTCGTTACGCGAAGGGAACACCATGGCGGGGTGGGGGTGGGGACAACCTAGTCTGACCTTTTGGGGTTCAGGGGCCAAGAGAGGGGTCTCACTATGTTGCCCAGGCTGGCCTCAAACTCCTGGGTTCAGGCGATCCTCCCACCTCAGCCTACCAAGTAGCTGGGATGACAGGTGTGCACTTTTGCACCCGGCAGCTCTGATTTTAAAGCGTTTTCCCCTCTTTTGGATTTAACCTTAAAGGATATTTTCTTTGTTGGTCTATTTTCTTTGATGTCTTTGATAACTCCTTTATACAATATGAAAAAAAACCCTGGTTATTTCTTTTGTTTTTAGGGTAGCTGAGTCCTTATGCACATCCGGGAACTGGGCATTAGAAATAATAAATTTCCCAAATTTATCTAGGTTTTTCTTATGGTTTGAATATATAGAATAATAAATATCTAGAATAATATAGCACTATAAAATGCACTAACTTTTAAATAAATTTTGCTTCTTTCCAAGAGAAATTGCCACTTTAATGCTGTTTTCTGTTCATCTGTCATTGCAAGAAACTCATTTACCTGGTTAAAAAAAAAGATGAGACAAATATATCTGAAGTTTACGAAGAAAATTCGTTTTGACAACAGTGAGAAACAAACTTTCTCATTAGAAATGAAATTTTAATTTGCAGTAATTATAGCTCAACCGTTTGTTTTTGTTTTTAGAGACAGGGTCTCACTCTGTCGCCCAAGCTGGAGTGCAGCAGTGCGATCACAGCTCACTGAAGCCTCAAACTCCCGGGGTCAAGCAATCCTCCCACCTCAGCTTCCCAAGTTTCTGAAATTACAGGTATGCACTATTATTCTCTGGCTAATTGTTTTATGTTTTATTTTTTGTAGAGACACTATGTTGCCCAGGGTGATCTTGAACCCCTGACCTCAAGTGATCCTCCTGCCTCAGCCTCCCAAAGTGCTAGGATTACAGGTGTGACCCACTATGCCCAGCCAACTCAATTGTTTTGATAGAGAAGATAAGGCAGGAAAGGCTAGATAAGCAGAATCTCTAAAGGCAATCAGGTAGCTCAGTAAGGAAAAATCCCTTCAATAAAGTGGAAGCAGAATTTGGAATTAAAGTCTAATGGTAAATTTCATGAGCTGGTTTTAACAATAAAAAGCAAGTGCCTATTGCCAAATGCACATGCTAATCCCTAAGTGTTATCTGCTGCTGTCCTGTAGCTGCAAACCAGGGAGAAAATGTGTAGCTGATTTCATGTAACTGAGTAGGTGAAACACAGCCAAATCCTCCTAGAAAAACCACCTTATGACTGATCAACATCTCCAACTTGTTTTACCCCTTGTTACTTGACTATATCAAACATCATGTTTCCTCGGTTGGGTTTTTTTTTTTTTTTTTTTTTTTTTTTTGAGACAAGTCTTGCTCTGTAACTCAGGCTGGAGTGCAGTGGCGTGATCTTGGCTCACTGCAACTTCCACATCCTGGGTTCAAGTGATTCTCGTGCCCCAGCCTCCTGAATAGCTAGGATTATAAGTGCATGTCACCACACTCAGCTAATTTTTGTACTTTTAGTAGAAATGGGGTTTCACCATATTGGCCAGGCTGGTCTCAAACTCCTGACCTCAAGTGATCTGCTCTCCTCGGCCTCCCAAAGGACTAAGATTACAGGCCTGAGCCACTGCACCCAGCCCTAAAACATCATGTTTATTTATCCATTTAGGCTAATGGCCTCAGTCATTACTCATAATAGTAAATATTAGCTAGGATTTTAATATATGTAACATTTGTTCATGAAAGCAATGTGTGTTTAAAGCAAGATGATTTTTTCCCAGACTGTTTATTAGTGAATTAATTTCTATCAAATGTTTGACAAAACTACCTCTATTTTTGGGGGAAAAGCATTCACTTTGGAAATATTCTAAGCATTTCTTCCTTTTTGCTATTTACCGTGCAGCCCAAAGTCTCCTCAGCAACACTTCCTGTGAGACTACAGGAATGAAGGGTGCCTGTGTGATCAGTCAGATCAATCAGCATATCGAAACTGAGAAAGACAGATTTAAAGTCCAAGGAGTTTTTGTTGCAAATTGTGCACATGTTAGATGCTTCATTTACTATATAACCACAGGTGGAACTGAAAAGAAACAAAGACAATGATAAAATGTGATGCCCTAAGTGACAAATTTCATCTCTAGCAGAAAAAGAATTATCACTAAAAACTCTACGTCAGTGTATGCAAAACTTACTGAGTGTTCAGTGCTATGCAGTGTACCAGTCGTAAAAAACAGTAAAACACACTTTCTATACAGCCATTCTCAGAATTCATCTGAAACTGCGTACACCAGTCCTCCACCTGCCCTCCCTTCTTCCCTCCCTCTGCCGAGTTCCTGCCAAGCCCTCCAGGTCCCTCCCAGTCTCATTTCCCTGCTGGTGCCCTCCCTTCTTGCATCCCAGCCCGCACCCTTTCCCTCTTGGAACAGCAGCAGAACGCAAGCCTCAGGACTGACTCATGCTGTCGCATCAGCTCCTTGTTCTCACCTCCCCCGCTGGGAGTTCTGAGGGCAGGAACTGTGTCTTGTGCCTGGAAAGCACGCGTTCAATAGCTGCTCACTGGATGGTCCTGCACGGGGCCTTCTCTACAAATAGAGAAAGCCTTGCAAGGCTGGCCAGGTGGCACCAGACGCTATTAACACTGCTGGTGATACACTCTCCTCTCTTTCAGTGGTTTATGCTATTCCAAATTTCTGAAGCAAGCCTTACTTTAGCAATCTTGAACAGGGAACCTAATTTAAATTTCTCAAATAGGGGAAATGAACTAAAGACAGTGGATTTTTGTCTAGCCACAGATCACTTGGTTCAGCAAATTGTAGATGCTTTTCCTCAGATATCAATAATAAATATACAGGGAAAAAATTAGTTTTTCAATTTTTGAAAACTGTTTTTCAAAAAACGAATACAAGGTCTTACACAGCATCCACATTAGTTTTTTCAATTTTAATACATCATAAAATGTTTTAAAAATCCAGAGGTCAGTATCTTGACTGTGGCAACAGATACACAAACCTACAAGTGTGATAAAACTAATTAGAACACACACACACGACTGCATGTGAACCTGGAGGAATTTGAGTAAGACCAGTGGATTGAATGGTGTCAATATCCTGGCTGTGACATGGTACTATTACTTCCAAATGGTATCGCTGGGGGAAATGGGGCAGAAGCCACAAGGGATCTCTCCTATTATTTCTTTTTTTTTTTTTTTTTTTTTTTTGTGAAGCGGAATCTCGCTCTGTCTCCCAGGCTGGAGTGCAGTGGCGCAATCTCGGCTCGCTGCAAGCTCCGCCTCCCGGATTCATACCATTCTCCTGCCTCAGCCTCTCAAGTAGCTGAGGCTACAGGTGCCCGCCACCACGCCTGGCTAATTTTTTGGTATTTTTTACAGACCAGGTTTCACTGTGTTAGCCAGGATGGGCTCAATCTCCCGACCTCGTGATCAGGCCTCTTCGGCCTCCCAAAGTGCTGGGATTATAAATGTAAGCCATCACGCCCGGCCCTCTTATTATTTCTTATACTTCTATGCAAATCTAGGATTATCTCAATGAAAATTCTCATAAAAATCCATAGACTTGCCTAATAATATTACACGTTTCTTGCCAAGCATCTTTTAGCTAAGAGTATTAAACCTACTGGAGTTTACTTTTTTTTTTTTTTTTTTTTTGAGACAGAGTTTCGCTCTTGTCACCCAGGCTGGAGTGCAATGGTGCAGTCTCGGCTCACCATGACCTCCACCTCCTGGGTTCGAGCAATTCTCATGCCTCAGCCTCCGAAGTAGCTGGGATTATAGGTGTCCATCACTATGCCCAGCTAATTTTTTGTGTGTTTTTAGTAAAGATGGTGTTTCACCATATTGGCCAGGCTGGTCTTGAACTCCCGACCTCAGGTAGTCCACCTGCCTCGGCCTCCCATAGTGCTGGGATTACAGGCGTGAGCCACCATGTCCGGCCTGGAGTTTACTTTCTATGCAAGTAAATATTAACTTCGATCTACAAGAGGTTGGATGTTTCCCAGGCTGGACTCAAACTCTTCAAACTCCTGGGCTCAACCGATCCTCCCACCTCAGCCTCCTGAGTAGCTGAGACTACAGGTGCATGCTACTGCACCTGGCTTGAAAATAATTTTTTTTTAATGCTGTCAGTACACTGCTGTAGGGCCTAGCAACCAAAATAGTTTTCTGCCAAATCATTAGACAAGTTTGTCAAAAGTTTCTCACATTATATCTTTATATGTTAGAATTATAGAAATATAGATTATATTTTAAAAGGCAATTATAATATTTTAATCTAGTTTGCTATGGAAACTTTTCAGTATAGTTTTCTATACATTTATCTCAAATACATAACCCCCATTATGTCAACAAACAGCTTTAACTTTTAGAGAGCTTAAAATTATATTAACAATAATTATTTCTTACAAAAATGAATTTGCTAAAAGAGACATGGATCCTTACCATCTGTTTCGAACTACTTTTGTAGTTTCATCATCAATGTTGAGTGTGGAAATGTAGGCATAAAGTATGCCATAGAAAGGATCAGCTTTTCCTTCATTCTTCAAAGCTTTTCCCTTTAATTGTTCAACTGTATAGACATCAACTATTGTACTTACTAAAAATAGAAAGAAGTATTACGGTCTGTATATATTCTTATAAAATAAAGGATTACATCTGAATGGAAAGCTATGACAAATGAGAACATGCAGTAGCTTAAGTAACAGAAAAATTACTATGTTGGGTATATAAACACTGATTCTATAAATGGACATAAAAGCAAAACATAAGAAAAAAAGGAAATGAAATTGGTCTTCATTAAAATGAAGAATTTCTGTTTATCAAAAGACACCATTAAAAAAGCAAAAAGGCAAGCCACAGAGTGGGAGATGCTAGCAGTCTACAATGAGATAAAGGACTCATCCAGAATTGTCTAAAGAATTCTTAAATATCAGTTAGAAAAAGAAAGTGACTTGGCTGGGCACAGTGGCTCACACCTGTAATCCCAGCACTTTGGGAGACCAAGGCGGGCGGATCACCTGAGGTTGGGAGTTCAAAAGCAGTCTGACCAACATGGAGAAACCCTGTCTGTACTAAAAATAAAAAAAGCTGGGCATGGTGGTGCATGCCTGTAATCCCAGCCACTCAGGAGGCTGAGGCAGGCGAATCTCTTGAATCCGGGAGGCGGAGATTGTGGTGAGCCGAGATTGCGCCATTGCACTCCAGCCTGGGCAATGAGAGACAAACTCCTTCTCAAAAAAAAAAAAAAAAAAGACAGTGATTCAATTTTTTCTTTTTTTCTTTTTTTTTTGAGACAGAGTCTCGTTCATTGCCCAGGTTGGAGTTCAGTGGCACTGTCTGGGATTACAGGCGTGCTGGGATTACAGGTTTGAGCCACCGTGCCTGGTGACAGTGACTCAATTTTTTAAATGCGGAAGTGACTTTTAAAAGTACATCACAGCCGGGCGCAGTGGCTCTCCACCTGTAATCCCAGCACTTTGGGAGGCCGAGACGGGCGGATCATGAGGTCAGGAGATCAAGACCATACTGGCTAACATGGTGAAACCCCATCTCTACTAAAAAATACAAAGAATTAGCCGGGCGTGGTGGCGGGTGCCTGTAGTCCCAGCTACTCAGGAGGCTGAGGCAGGAGAATGGTGTGAACCTGGGAGACGGAGCTTGCAATGAGCCGAGATCATGCCACTGCACTCCAGCGTGGGTGACAGAGCAACACTCCATCTCAAAAAATAAAATAAAATAAAATAATTAATAAATAAAAGTACATCACAAAAGAAGTTATCAAAATGGCCAATACATGTACTGGTCTCAATAATCATCAGGAAAATACAAATTAAACCAGAGTAGGCTGGATGCGGTGGTTCACGCCTGTAATTCCAACACTTTGGGAAGTTGAGACTAGTGGATCGCTTGAGGTCAGGAGTTCGAGACCAGCCTGGCCAACATAGCAAAACCCTGTCTCTACTAAAAATAAAAAATTAGCTGGGCATAGCAGTGTGTGCCTGTAATCCCAGCTACTTGGGAGGCTGAGGAAGGAGAATCGCTTGAACCCGGGAGGCAGAGGTTGCACTCAGCCAAGATGGCGGCATTGCACTCCAGCCTGGGTGACAGAGCCAGACTCCGTCTCAAAAACAAACGAACAACCAAAAAAAAAAGAAAAAAACAAGAGAATTCCACTAAACACCTAACATTTAAAAGACTAATAACACAAACATTAGTGAGGATGTAAAGCAACAACAAAAATAAACTTTACAAAACTAAAAATAACCAATAATTCATTTTTATTTTTCTTTATCTTAGAAGAATCTTCCAGGAACAAATATTATTCGGGTTAGAAAACTTTTATCAGAAGTTATCCGGTTCCTTCAGCACTTCATTGGTTTCTTTCCTTTTGTTGCTGTCTAGTACATGAAATTTAATTTTCTTCAATAAAAAGATGGTAATGTATATCTATTTATTTATATTTTTATGTCTTTATCTTTCTATTAGTATATATGCACGAAAAGATACACTAAAAGATGTTAACCAAATAACTGTTTATTTGGGGCTGTTGCTTGCATTCTGTATTATATTTCTCTTTTTTTTTTTTTAAGACGGAGTCACGCTGTGTCACCCAGGCTGGAGTGCAGTGGCGTGATCTCAGCTCACTGCAACCTCCGCCTCCTGAGTTCAAGCGATTCTCCTGCCTCAGCCTCCCGAGTAGCTGGAATTATAGGTGCCCCCCACCACGCCTGGTTCATTTTCTGTATTTTTAGTAGAGACAAGGTTTCACCAGGTTGGCCAAGCTGGTCTCAAATTCCTGACCTCAAGTGATCCCTCCACCTCGGTCTCCCAAAGTGCTGGGATTACAGGCGTGAGCCACCACGCCCAGCCAAGCATTCTGTATTGTGTTTCTTTTATTTTTTGAGATACAGTCTCGCTCTGACATCCAGGCTGGAGTGTAGCTTCACTCTATCACCCAGGCTGGATCTCAGCTCACTGCAACCTCCACCTCCCAGGTTCAAGAGATTCTCCTGCCTCAGCCTGCCGAGTAGCTGGGATTACAGGCACATCCTGTGATGCCCGGCTAATTTTTGTGTTTTTAGTACAGATGGGGTTTTGCCATGTTGGCCTGGCTGGTCTTATGAACTCCTGGGCTCAAATGATCCACCCACCTCAGCCTCCCAAAGTGCTGGGATTACAGGTGTGAGCCACTGTGCCGGACCTACTTTTAAAATTTTGAGCATTTTAATTTTTAATAAAAATATAAAAGCTCTAAAGAAAACATCATTATAGTTTTACCCTGAAATATTTAATCAATTTTTACCTATAAGGTTTTCATGGGAGTAATGAGCATTTTAAAAGATAAAAAAGGCCAGGCACGGTGGCTCACGCCTGTTATCCCAGCACTTTGGGAGGCCAACGCGGGCAAATCGCTTGAGCTCAGGAGTTTGAGACCAGCCTGAACAACATGGTGAAACCCAGTTTCTACCAAGAACACAAAAAATTAGTTTTTGCTTTTATAAATCTGAGTAAATTTAACTATCAAAGTTCCCACAGTAAAATAAAAGGGATGCTTAAAAACTATTTTTAGGCCAGGGCTGGTGGTTCATGCCTGTAATCCCAGCACCTCGGGAGGCCTAGTCAGGCGGATCACCTGAAGTCAGGAGTTCGAGACCAGCTGGCCAACATGGTGAAACCCCATCTCTACTAAAAATACAAAAATTAGCAGGGCGTGGTGTCGTGTACCTGTAATCCCAGCTACCCAGGAGGCTGAGGCAGGAGAATCACTGGAACCCAGGAGGCAGAGGCTGCAGTGAGCCGAGATTGCACCACTGCACTCCAGCCTGGGTGACATAGCAAGACTCCGTCTCAAAAAAAGAAAAAAAGCTATTTTGGGGCCAGACACTGTGGCTCACGCCTGTAATCCCACCACTGTGGGAGGCTGAGGAGGACAGATCACCTGAGGTCAGGAGTTCAAGACCAGCCTGCCCAACATTGTGAAACCTCGTGTCTACTAAAAATATAAAAATTAGCCAGGTGTGGTGGTGTGCACCTGTAATCCCATCTACTTGGGGGGCTGAGACAGGAGAATTGCTTGAACCCAGGAGGCAGAGGTTGCAGTGAGCTCACACCACTGCACTTCAGCCTGGGTGACAGAGCAAGACTCCTCAAAAAACAAACAAACAAAGCCTATTTTTGGACCAAGCAAGGTGGCTCACACCTGTAATCCTTCAGGAGGCTGAGGCAGGAGGATTCCTTGAGGTCAGGACTTTGAGACCCCGAAAAAAGAAAAGAGAAGAGAAGAGGGGAGGGGAGAGGAGGGGAGAAAGAAATAAAGAAAGACAAAAGAAAGAACGAACGAGAGAAAGAGAAAGAGAGAGAAAGAAGGAACTACTTTGTGATTACTTTAATATAACCTACTGATCAGAAAAAAAAAAAATTCCCAAATAGGCCGGGCGCGGTGGCTCAAGCCTGTAATCCCAGCACTTTGGGAGGCCGAGACGGGCGGATCACGAGGTCAGGAGATCGAGAACCCATCCTGGCCTACACGGTGAAACCCGTCTCTACTAAAAAATACAGAAAACTAGCCGGGCGACGGTGGCGGCGCTGTAGTCCAGCTACTCTCGGGAGGCCTGAGGCAGGAGAATGGTGTGAACCCGGGAGGCGGAGCTTGTAAGTGAGCCTGAGATCCGGCCCACTGCACTCCAGCCTGGGCGGCAGAGCAAGACTCCGTCTCAAAAAAAAAAAAAAAAAAATTCCCAAATAGGCCCGGGCGCGGTGGCTCACGCCCTAGTAATCCCAGCACTTTGGGAGGCCCGAGCGGGCCGGATCACAAGGTCAGAAGATCGAGACCATGGTGAAACCCCGTCTCTACTAAAAATACAAAAACGAGCGGGCGCCGGTGGCCGGGCGAAACTGTAGTTCCAGCTACTCGGAGGCCACTGAAGGCAGGAGAATGGCGTGAACCCAGGAGGCGGAGCTTGCAGTGAGCCAGGAATCACGCCACTCAGCACTCCAGCTTGGCAACAGAGGCAGACTCCGTCTCAAAAAAAAAAAAAAAAAAAATTCCCAAATAAATCAGGCTGCCCTTGAGTAGCCTAAAAATGGTTGTAGACACTGTCATTCCTGTCCCCGTTTTAGGGTTGCATGGCAGGACAGGGACTGAAATACACTTTATCAAGTTTACCTCACAGCTCGCTGAACGCCTCTGTGCTCTCTCAAGTTTCCTGAAATGGCATTATCTACAAATGACCCAACATTTAAAAAAAATGTTTCCAAAGTAACAATCATGGCTTTATTTTATTTATTTATTTATTTATTTTTGAGACACGGTCTTGCTCTGTCACCCAGGCTGCAGTGCAGTGGCATGAACACAGCTCACTGCAGTCTTTATCTCCAGGGCTCGAGCAATCCTCCTATCTCAGCCTCCTGAGTAGCTGAGATCACAGGCACATGCCACCATGCCCAGCTATTTTTTTAAAAAATTTTTGTAGAGATGGAGTCTCACCTATGGCTTGTCCCTTCTTGTAGGCAAAAAGATGATAAATTTTGGCCGGGCGCGGTGGCTCAAGCCTGTAATCCCAGCACTTTGGGAGGCCGAGACGGGCGGATCACGAGGTCAGGAGATCGAGACCATCCTGGCTAACACAGTGAAACCCCGTCTCTACTAAAAATACAAAAACATTAGCCGGGCGTGGTGGCGGCGCCTGTAGTCCCAGCTACTTGGGAGGCTGAGGCAGGAGAATGGCGGGAACCCAGGAGGCGGAGCTTGCAGTGAGCCGAGATCGCGCCACTGCACTCCAGCCTGGGCGACAGAGCGAGACTCTGCCTCAAAAAAAAAAAAAAAAAAAAAAAAGATGATAAATTTTGATCTTGATCCAGTAGTACCTTTTTCTATCAGTGACCTCTACTGATATGAAACACATTAAATATCCTCTGCAAAAAGCAATAACAAAGTTCCTCTTCCACACAATGTAATGTGGCTTGCAGAATACATTATTTCATGCTAAATTCCACTGTTACTCTCTTCAGGTGAATTAAGCATCATCTACGGTAACTAAGTAAGGACTATGTTACAGAACACGCCTTCAGTGAGTGATTTAAAACTTCCCTCTGTTCCTCCTGGTCCCTCCAGCATGCATGTCTGGCATAAGCCAGCAATAGCGATAAGCAGAATCCTTTTTTTCTCTTTTTTTTTTTTTTGGAAA